CCCATATATAGGTTTCATCCGATTTGGTTTTTATGGCCCTCACATTCGTAATATGCATTCGACAACAATGATATTTGGTACCAGATACAGTTCACCAAACTTAATTAAGATTTGGATATATCTCCATATATGTTTTCAATTTTATCAAGATCGATTTAGATTTGGATATAGCTCCCATATATATCCTTAATCCGATTTCAGGTTTATTGTGCAAATAATGGCATATAATATCACCCCAAATATAGTGAACTTCGGGACGTACGTTTCCATTTTGTGGAACTTGATTCCGATATATATTTTTTAATATAATCCTTCTCTAAGTGACATCATGCACTCTATATCAATGTTATTTGGTATAAAAGATTAAAATGTCTCTGCCAAATTTTAAATCGATTCAGAATTGGATATGCCTCCCATATAGTAGTTTCCTCTGAAACCAAACTATTACTGCTTTAAAGCCAAATGTTGATAGGCGATATGATCTACTTCAAGTAAATTTTTTTGTTACGGGAACTCTACTAAATACGCATAGTAGTGTAGGGTATCATATAGTCGGCCCCGACCGACTTTTCACTTTTCCTTACTGGATTTTTACTTTTTCATATTTTTTCTAATATATTTTGAAAAAACCTACCGAATAATTGTTTTCCACCCATCCGAATAATAGCAACCCGAAATGGAATCGGGTCTGCCAATTTGACAATGTTGTTTTGAATCCTCCTTTGTCAAAAGGACATTGCGGCGGCTTGCTTGGCTCACAATAACGACTGGTTATGCTTCCACGCTGTGTGTATGGCTCTGTATGTGTGTGCATGTGATTTTTATGGAAATAATATTCTTGTCAGGATTAAAAAGGATACGTGACTAGAAACATTAAACTAAACATAACTATTTGAAACAATGAATATCTACAAAACGACAGGAGACTATTGGCGAGAAATGCTCGATATGAAAGACCAGTAGCAGTAGTAGTGACTTGGAAAGACCAAGAAAAAAAAACAACAACAAGTAAACAAATAAATGACAAAATACAAACCGAGTACTACAAAGTGAAAACAGATCCTTTCTATCCTCCGGTTTTGTGAACGAGTCAAGGCAAAATGAGAATTAGCTTAAAGTTACCCTTGGCAAAGAAACAATTTCTTGGATTCCAAGCAATGGTTGCTTGGTATTACAAACATCACCGAGGGATTCTGAGTTAGTAGCAATTTTTTTTCTCACAAAATCCCACGTTATTGTCGATGATGACGATGTTGAATTGAAATATGCATGCCCATGTGTATGTAAATATGTGTTTGGTTTTTGCGAAACTGGAAGATATTTTTTCTCCATTTTAGTTGGATTTTTTGGTTCCTAACTAGCATTTGTTTTATATGTGTATGTAGTTCTAGCTTTTTTTGGGAGGTCACATATTCCAACATTTGATGGTTGCATACAAATGTTTCAAATATAATATTGTTGCCCCGCAATGTTTGTTTTTGCCTTTGTTATTCTACCATTCTTGTTGCCACAACCGAGAATCATCTATCCAACATTCCTGGATAATGTCCCATATCACATGGCATCTCATCATCCACATCGGCATGACATTGCATAGCATCATGTTCTACATACCGGAGTTATGTTTGTCCCGTCACATGCCTGCCTGCCTGCCTGCCAGCCAGCCTGCTTCCTTGTTTGCCTGGCGCATATTCTGTTGAAGATACGACGTGATACGTGTATTACTATCACGTATCATTTCATTTGTTTCTGGGCTGGTGTTTTTTTCTTGTTGTTATGCTTTTTCCTGTTATTATTTATACAAGATTCGCTGGGGGATGGGGAATGGTGTGTCCCGTTTGCTTTAGAAATATTAAAATTTTTTTGGTTAACATTCATACATCTTTTTGAAAATCTGATGAAAACATTTCTTCGTGCTATTCAATATCAATTATTTTTTTTTTATCAAACAACATGTTTTTGTTTGTCTCAAATTGGTGGTGGCCTACTACAGTTCCCTATGGCAACATATCTCGTGACTCGATATCAAGTGACTAATTTGTGGGTGTTTTTGTTGGAAAGTTTTAATGTACTAACCAAGTGCGATCTCAACCACAGTTAGTTACAAATAAACAAAATCGAAAAGCCAAACCGCAAGTGATTGTAGCTAAATTTTGATATATTCAAGATATCGTATTTTTATATTTTTTCAGACGCGATTTGAGCATTTTTATGCCTTTGAGCTTTTTTGACGGATTGTTTATTACAAATTTGTTCATTCCTTTTTGAATTTTTAAAATATAGTTTCACAAAAAATTTCAGAGAATGCCTCTAACGTTTTTTTATACTATAAGCCATATGGCTAGAGATACGGCGAAATCGTGCCTCGTCGAAATAACGATTTTTGACCCTAGGTCTTTTTGGACCAAATCCGTTTCAGGACGAAGCTCATAAAACGCGAAATTTATATCCGATTCCATTAAGACTTGGCATATCTCAATATTTCCATCAACACGAGATCTGTTATAAAGATGGAAGAGATCGGACCATTTACCCCCCAAACAAAGGATCCAAGTTTTAAATACCCAAAACGATTATAAAATCTGAAATAAGCATCCGGGTTTCTTCATATTTCACGCATCCCACTATTTCTACTAACACAAGATCTGCAGTGAAGATGGGATATATCGCTCCATTTATTCTGGTGTCTCCCCCACAAAGGGGAAGCTCATAAAACGCGAAATGAACATCCAATTCCATTTAGACTTTGCACATCTCAATATTTCTATCAGCACTAGACCTGTTATAAGGATGGTAGCGATCGGACCATTTCTTCTGGTAACTCCCTCGCGAAGGGTTCAAGATTTTGACAAACAAAACTTTCAAATAGAGCGAAATTAGCATCTAACTCCCTTAAAATTTCACACATACAAACATTTTTGCCAACACAAGATCTGTTGTGAAGATGATATATATCTGCGAATACCTTCTGGTACCTCCCCCCCAAATGGTCACAATTTTCAATACTTTTATCTGTCATAGCTTGCGAAACAAGTCAGCGATCCTTTAAAACTTGCTATATCTAAATATTTCTCTCAACCAGAAACATGAGATGAATATGGAATTGGAATGGAATCGATATTACAGCCTATGACAGAAAATTGTTTGCGCAGGCCCACGTTTTCGTATAGCCCTCATATAACGGTACGTCCAGATAATCGGTATTTTGATGATTTTAGCGGCATTATTCAACGGAATTGTCTCAAATTTAGTAATTGAAGTTCGTATTGGATACTACAGCCTATGACAGAAGATTAATTCTGATGATTTTAGCTGAATAATGATTAGTGAATAATGTATTCACCGATTTTTTTTTTCCAAATTTCACATTTGAATATTGTTATGGTTTATGACAAAAGTTGCCTATGCAGGTCCAATATAACTGCTACATTCGGTATTTTTTTAACAGAATGTTTAACGGTTTTTTTTTGAAAATTGTCAAATTTTTTCCAAATGATGGAGGGTATTCAAAGTTCGGCCCTGCCGAACTTAAAGCTTTTTTTTAATTGTTCATTGTTAATTACAAATCAGCTCGTCACGAAAAAGAGAACATCAAATAAAATAATTGTGTGTATTTTTGGAAGGATCTCTTAGGTATTTATACCCTACACCACAAGTTGGTCGGGGTATTATGTCTTTGTGCATTTGTTTGTAACAGGCAAAAAGAAACGAGATAGACTCATAGCTTTTTTTGATGATCTGCATAGAATCACATTCTGAGTCGATTTATGTATGTCCGTCCGTCTGCCTGTCTGTCCCTGTATTTTTGTAAACAAAGTACAGGTCGCATTTATTGCCCGATCCAGATGAAAATTTACACAATTCATTTGTTTAACGCAAGCACGAACCCTATTGAAATTGGAGATAATCAGTCAAAATTTAGATTTAGTTCCCATATGTATATTCGTCCGATTTTTTATTGTGCACCAAACGTGTAATATCTGCTCAAATAGTATGGAATTTTGCATATTCGATCAAGTTAAGCCTCGAAATAAGTATGCCAAATTTGATCGAAATCGGATCAGATATAGCTATAGCTCCCATAAATATTGTTCATCCGATTTGTTTTTTTTTTTGTCCTCCGCAGCCGTAATATGTGCTCTGTAACAACGATATTTGGGGAAATAAATTAAAAAAAAGCACAAAAATACCTTTCCCAAATTTTATCGATATCGGTTTAGATTTGGATATAGCTCCCACATATGTCTTCGTCCGTTTTGCCTTTTATTGTGCACCTAACGTCTAATATTAACCCAATTGGGATGGAATTTGGCAATTATGACCAAATTGAGCCTAGAAACAAGTATGTTAAATTTGGTGAAAATCGGTTCAGATATAGCTATAGTTCCCATATATATTTTTCATCCGATTTGTTATATTTTCGATTTTTATTTATTATATAAAGCTCTACTAAATATGTAGAGGGGTGTAGGGTATCATAAAGTCGGCCCGGCCGACATGATTTTAAGTAGAATCATGGTGGGTATTCTAAATAATATGTTTCAAAGGACTGTGAATATTTCTATGGAGGCTATGTTCGAGCAGTCATGTTGAAGATTTCACTTTCATTATGTTTTCTTCAAATGTCACCTGGGCTATTGTTTACATTTTAGTTGTCATGCAAATATTTATAAAACAAGTGTAACCCGATTATTAGGGCGGGATGGGGTTGGTGTGATTAACACTCTTTCGTGAATTGATTAAAGTGTGAGTAATCCATTGTTATTAATAACAAATGAACAGCCGAACAGCAACAATAACAAAATAATAATACAATTTACTTCCTTGGCGCAATGCAAACAATTTCGATTACGAACATTAACGCTCAAGAAGTAAAAATAAAATAAAACAAAAAAAAGAGACGACGTTTCGTTTTTGTCATATCACAGTTGATAAGAACAGACGACCTCAAGGCAAGAAGGCAAAGAGGTTTTGTTATAAAATTCATATTGACGGTTAAGAGAAGTTACAGTATTAACTAAACGCTCGCCGGGTGCAGAACTTAAAAGCAGTGGAAAAAAAATTGAAATAAAATCAAAAGAAAAAATAACATACCAATCGATATGTACGGAAAAGTTTTGTTGTGTTTGGCTTTTGTTGCCGTTATCGCCTTGCCGCTGGGTAAATGAAAATTGATATTTTTGAAATACCGTGCAAGTGAAAGTAATTGTGTCATATCTGCATTTATGTATTTATTTAGCAAATTCCTTGAAATGTTACGAATGCCGTGATGTGAATTCCTGCAAAAATCCCACTACCGTGCAATGTAACCAAATAAATGCCAATGCTACACGTGATGCTCTGCTGAATACCTATCATAATGTTCAAATTACTAATACCACAAGATACGCATGCTATGTTGGTATTTACAGTGCTGGTGAGTTTTTTTTTTTTAAATTCTGAATAGATTCATTTTTGGGAATATTCAAAAAATTATAAACAAAGTTTTTATTGCTGGAGAATTCTAATTTTTTCGGCAATTCAAATTTTGAGAGCCTGTTTTTGTATGACGGTACGAAGGTGAACTCGATAGAAAAACACCACTTCCAGAAATAAAAAAAAATAACAAGGAATTGATTTTTTTTTCTTTTTGATCCACTTTCAAATTGTCATACAAAAACAGGGCATAAGTCAATGTTAAAAGTTAATATATATTTTTAATTAATAATATATTAATGTCTATTTTTTCAATTTTTAATAGGCAAAGCAACAGTTTTCGATGTCCGTGGCTGCATTCCGGACGATGCCGTCAGCTGCAGTGCCCCCCTCGTGAACTCAACTTGGGTAAAACAGACCTGTGATGTTTGTACCAAGGACTCGTGCAATAAGAAGAATTCCGTTGGAACCTTCTCCTCTAGTATTTTTACCATGATTGGTCTCCTATTTGTGGCTAAAGTATTTGTAAATTAAATTATTTAAATTATATTTTAGTCTACGCAGTATTGTTATGGTTTTGTTAGTTTCCTTTTTTGTACATTGTAGTCGCCAAAAGGCATTAGTTATAATCTCACTAAAAACGAAAAATTAAGATTCATCGAAAAGAAAAACGATTTGTATTTGAAATAAAAAGATTTGTATTTGAAATAAGAACAGTATATATATTTTTAAATAAAAAAATGTATGTTTGAAATGTTTCTATTACAGAACCAATGTTCAATTTTTGGTTCATAAATTAAAAAACTAATTAAGTTTCTTTAGTCATATCTTTAATGGCTATACTTGTTTATGACAGTCATACTTCTGTTCTGAATTGACTGAGTTGGCAGTTCTCGACCGTAAGCAACTCGTTCCGTTACGGATGGCAGATAATGAAACAAGTAAAAAAGTATAGGTCGGTTTTGCCGACAGCCAGTGTTCGATTACTTAAAAATATTTTGACTTCTGTTATGATTATTCAACCTCTATGGAGTGGGTTTTTTTCGGCCAATATTATGTATTTTGTATCGGACCTAAATAAATATGATATAAATATTGCGTCGTGCCAGGTTTGGACTACATCGACTATATCCTTCACTTTAAATGAGATATGTGAGAATTTTTAGAAAAGGTTAAAATGTGCGTGAGTTACCAGATATATTCGACCGAAGTATTCCATTTTTATATCCTCCACCTTGGAAAGCAGGGTATATTAACTTTGTCATTCCGTTTGTAACATCCTTAAATATTCGTCGTAGACCCCATAAAGTATATATATTCATAATCAGCATAAAATTCTAAGTCGATTTAACGATGTCCATCTGTCTATCTGTTGAAATCACGATACAGCCCACATTTTTTGACGTAGAGCGCCAAAATTTAGTAGAGCAATTTGTATTGTGTCTAGGATGGTTGGTATTGAAAATGAGATATGTCGGTCCACGTTCCCGATATTTGGTATTTTGATTATTTTTGCCACATTTTTTCACTGATTTGTCTAAAAATTGATATTTGTGGGTCATAATGGGTCCTAGTTCGTGTGGCGGAACATTGTATGTATAGGTCCACATTTTGGTATAGCCCCCATATAACGGTACCTCCCGATATTCGGTAATTTGATGATTTTTGACACATTTTTTCACGAATTCATCTGAAAATTGGTAGTTGTAGATCACAATGGGTCCCAGTTCGTGTGGCGAGTCATTGTAATTATAGGTCCACGTTTTGGTATAGCCCCCATATAACGGTACCTCCCGATATTCGGTAATTTGATGATTTTTGACACATTTTTTCACGTATTTGTCTGAAAATTGGATTTGTAGGACATAATGGGTTCTAGCTCCGTTGGCGAAACATTGCAAGTGTAAGTCTACGATTTGGTATAGCCCCCATACAACGGTACCTTCCGATATTCGGCATTTCAATGGTTTTTGACACATTTCTTCTAATGTTTCCTTTACCATAAGGTGGAGGGTATTAAAAGTTTGGCCCGGCCGAACTTAATGTTTTTTTTTTACTTGTCATATTTAATCTAATGCAGATAAAAATACTGGTATCGGCAAAATCACAAGAAAATCGGACATTTATATCCAATTTTATGCGAAATCATGAATTCCCTATTCACCTCAGGCTTCTGCTTGAGAGACATATATTTAGATATAGCAAGTTGTAAAGAATCCCTGACTTGATTCACAAGTTATGACAGATAAAATTATTGAAAATTGTTACCCTTTAAGGGCTTCGCAGATATATATCATCTTCACAACAGATCGTTGAGCGTTTTGTTTTTTAAAATCTTGAGCCCTATGTGTGGGAGGTACCAGAAGAAATGGTTCGATCTTTACCAAATACAGGGTGAGATAAAAAAACTGCAACAAAGTCAACGCCATAGTTTTTACTATGTATCAAATGATATATACCCTCTATATCATTTGATACGGTCAAAACGTGCCTAGTCGAAATATCGGTTTTAGACCCTAGGTTTCTTTGGACCAAATCCGTTTCAGAACATTTGGAGTCGATCTAGCGATGTCCGTCCGTCCCTCTGTCTGTCTGGCTGGTGCGTACGATAACTCTCGAAGGGTCCAAACTTGGTACATCGTAATATTTTTGTCAAACTTAGATCGAGTTCGGAGATGGGTAACATCGGTCCACTCCTTCTGGTACCTGCCCCATAAAAGGTCGAAAATTTCAAAAAAAAAAAAAAAATATTTTCTGCACAGAAAGTGAAAGAATAATCCGATTTTGCTCCAAATTTGCAAATCCGAATATTTTCGTCAGCGCTAGGTCAGGATGGACAATATTGATTTATTCTATCAAGTACCTCCCCACAAAAGGTCGAAAATTTCAAAAAAAATATTTTCTGCACAGAAAGAGAAGAAATAATACGATTTTGCTCCAACTATGCAAATCCTAATATTTGTGTCAGTTCTAGGTCAGGTACAAATAATATGGGTTCAGTCCATCAAGTGCATCTTTCACAAAGGTTCAAAATTTTGAATAATTGTAACTCTTATAAAATGTGATGTACAAATCTGATTTTCTTCAAATTTTACACATCCTAATATTTTAACAAACACAAGATCTGGTGCTAATATGGAATATATGGGTTCACTCCTTCTGGTACCTTCCCCACAAAAGGTCGAAATTTTGAATATCCAATAAGCTTATAAAACGTGAAATTAACATCCGATTCCATTCAGACTTGGCACAACTCAATATTTCCGTAAACACAATATATCACAATGGCATATCTCAATATATTCCGTAAAGATGGTAGAGATCTGACCATTTCTTCTGGTACCTCCCTCACAAAGGGTAAAAGTTCCGATTTTCTTGCAATTTTGGCCATACCTATATTTTATCTGTATTAGATGAAATAGGGAAATGGAATACTTTGTCCGACTACATCTGGCACCTCACACGCATTTTGAAATTTTCAAAAAAATTACCACATATCTCATATAAAGTGATGGAAGTAACCCATATAGTTCAAATCTGGCACGTCACGATATTCATATCATATTTATTTAGGTCCCATACGAAATGGACAATATTGGCCCATTTCTTCGGTCGGCAAAGCCGACTGATACTTTTCAACTTGTTTACTCTCTTATCTGATTCCTCGTATCAATAATAACATATACGCTAAATTTAAAGACTATAGGCTCAATATTTTTATATTCAGGCCAAAATATGAGTTTTCGTATTTTTTTTAGTATCATTTGGTATGAATTTTCAAAAACCCCACCAACTTGAAATTTTGTATGCCAAATTGCAAGTTTATAGTCCTGGCTATTTTTTCTGGGCATTGATGAGCCAATGAGACCTCGTATTTTCCATCCATGGTGGGAAAGATGTGAAGTGGTCTCAACATTACCCACGATTCATGAATTGATTTATGTTTATAAATCTTAAATGGGCAATTCCGTGTTGTTATTATTATTATTATTTCATGCAGCCAATGAAAATCAAATTAAACCACATTACGAATTTTCCTATCAATGCATCAATGGATTTTTTGCTCGGAAATTTCACCGCTAAAGAGGTAAAAATAAAACTAACTTTGTTTGCAATGCTAAGTTAGAGGCCTCAAGGCAAAGTGAGCTTAGGTATAAAATGCATATTCAAACAGCTTCCAGTATCAAACAATCAATACCTTCGATTAGAGCAAGACGTTCAGAAGTTACAAGTAAAAAATTGAAAAAAAGCAAAAACAAGTGAAAAAGTTTAGAAAAAATTCCATTCAAAATGTACAAACTAGTGATTCTGTGTTCGGTGCTTGGTGCTCTCCTGCAGATGGGTAAGTTATAACTGATAGATACACGTCTTGCTGAAAAAATTTTGTTTTTAAAATTATTTTTATTTTTTTTTAATTATTTTTTATTTATAGCAAACTCCCTAAAATGTTACGATTGTCGCGATGAGTATTCCTGCAAAAATGCCTCCACCGTGGAATGTAATCACACCAATGCCCTGCTGAATATCTACCAAATTACAAAGTCGACAAAGTTTTCATGCTATGTTGGTGTTTATACATCAGGTAAGTTTTTAATTTTATTCGTTTCTTTTTTTTTTCAAAATGCAATTCTCTTCAGAATCAACGAAATTAAAAACAAATATTAAATGACTCAGTTCAAAATAGATTCAATGTCAAGTATATTAAAACCGCAGTAATAATTTTGTTTATAAATAATACACATGTAGACACATAAAACATACATGTATAAATATTGAAAACGATATTTTTTTATTTATTTTTTTTTTTGAAATAAATAAGAACCCCTAACCATTTTTGTTAATATTTTAAATACGTTAATATTTAAAATAAATATATATATATTGAGATTTGGGTTCTTAAGGCAATTATAGATCATTATATTTGTCTTGAAAGAGGAATATTTTTTATCTAAATTATTTAAAATTTTTTTTAAATTTTTTAAAATATTAAATGTCTCTTATATGCGAAAATAAATATATATTTCTTTGAGATTTGCCTTCTCAAGGCAATTTTAGATCATTAAATTTGTATCTTTTATCAAAAAAAAAAAATAAATAAATAAATAAAATAAAAAATAAATAAATAAATAAATATTAAATGTTTTCTTTTTAATTTTTCCAGGCGGCAAGGTAGTCTCCGATGTCCGTGGTTGCATTCTCACAAACGCCATTACGTGTGATACTCCTCCCTCAAATCCCCACTGGGTGCAGAAGACCTGTAATGTTTGTTCCGAGGATTTGTGCAATGATCGCAATTCGGTTGGAACAATCTCTGCGAGTGCTGCAGTTATGATTGGTGTTTTGTTTGTGGCAAAATTATTTTTATATTAAAAGTTACTGTTTAACATAAAACCAAAAAATTGTAAAATATATAATATACCCTACTAGAATCTCAATATAATTGTGGATTTTTTAAAAAAATTGTAATGGAATATTTGGGTTAGATTTTTTTTAAAGATTATCATATCCCTGCCTTACCCCCTGGAAAACATTGCCATCGTTCTCCACTAATAAACAAACGTTGTTT